TCCTGCTTCGGCATACCACGATCACACTATTTGAAGTGCTTAGACTAGTGCCCCGATCGATCAGCCCCCTAAGAGGTTCGAATTTACCCTCCGGCGATCGCCCTCGGCTTTGAAGAGGAGGAAACGGGTACTGATGTGGTGGGAGGTGGGAGGGACGGAGGGTGGGAGTTGTTGGTGCAGTTTGAATCAGACAATGGCCAAACGCCTCTCGACAACCGAATATCCTATTAAACCGGAACGATATTTGTTCGGGTCCCGCTCGTATTTCTTTCAGCCACGGGACCATGTATAGGTATCCGTGCAGTCGCGGATTTCGAAGTCTCACCCGGGCGCACGGGGGCAAACAAAACGTAAATAAATAACGGCATCGACCAGAGGAGCCAACGAACTCGCGTTTGGCAAAGTTCTCCGCGGAACTTCTCGGGGAAAACTGGTGCGCGAAGCTATCGGCGACCGATCCCGGAAAAAGGAACGAACCTCCCCCTCCCCCTCGTCGAAGAAGCTTAAGATACGTCGTATAACTTCCGAGTAATCTCGCGTTGTCGGCTGGGGATATAAATTCATGGTAAAAAAAGGCGATAGCGGTAGGGAGTAGAAGGAACCGGAAGTCGGACACATCGACTTGCCTGGCAAACTCCGCCGATTTGATCGCGTCCGGCAGTTAGTACGAAAACGCTGGCAAGGAAATAGTCCACGGGGGCCACGGCTCGTAATATGTACTTGGTCGAACAATACGAGCCCTGTTTGCGCCTGCACTTAGGCAACCGGCGCGTCTAACGTGTATGGACGGGTCCCGGTCATACACGCGATATGCAAATCCTCGGGGACAGGGGCGGGGGTGAAATGGAACGCGCGCATATACAGCGGCGCCCCCGTGTCCCCGTAAATCACACTATGCTTGCTCTTTTTTTCTAATGAGAGAGATCCCTTTAATTAAAGAAATACAGCCGCTGGTATCTTAATGTCGTCATAATTTCATCGTCACGATCCAGCGAAATAGACGATTGGCCCGACTAGACTTCGTGCACCAGACCACACGCCCCTCTCATTATCGCGTTACAGGTGATGAGAAATACTTTCGTACGGCACTTTCACCCCGTTCCAATGTACCTAACCCCCTTTGCTCCCCATCAATTCAGATTGTTATTGTAATTTAATGTGCCCCCCACCCCTGTGTTTCTCCATTTAATTAGGAACGTGCCACCTTTACGACCAGGGACGTGTCTATCGATCTCACCCCGATAGCGATTCGGTACTCGCGATCCGTACGTACGCGCGTCGGTGGTAAAATGGCACACCGGGGTGCGCTCGGAACAGTGAATCCGCGACAAATTAATCGGGCAAGTAACCAATGCACGGCTAATGCGGGCTGAGCGCCAAATGCTGTTTCTAACGTAATCGAATTTGCAGGTTGTCTCGCGCGCAGGGAATGCTAACACACAACCGGGGCTAAGTCACACCTACGCGTGTCACAGTCGAATCACCGACTATGCTGCTAATCAAATAATTCATTTCCGCAATCTCGTATCGTGGGATAATAACGACTCCGGTTACGCAGAACCGGCGCGGGGATTATTCAAGAATAATTTAATCTCTCGGCGAACAGGTGTCGATTGAATGGAACTGGATCCGCCGATAGTTATGACCGATCGGGAATATTATTAAGATTGTTACGGATACAATGTGAAATTTTGAACGAATGAGAAGGCGAACGGCGAAAGAATTGAAACGTGAATGAATAGGTTTATTAGTGATTAGAGTAAAAATGGGTAGTGGCGGTCATTTAAATAATAATTGTAATAAAATCGAAATATGAGGTCAAAGGTTTATTGCAAGTTACTTTTTACAAACTGAAACTTTTAACTGAATAAGAAAATTATTACTTTGAGATTAATTTCTTGTGTAAAGCATTTAAAGAAGAAATATTTTTAACTATTTAACTATTTAAATATTTTCATCGAAAATTATGTAGTACATCATTTTTAGAAAAATACAAACAGTAAAAACACAATTATAACAAATATACAGGTATTAAACGAGGTTCAACTGTTTGAAAAAACGAGTAACGATTCAAACTTTTGAAGAAAATGTGTAATGAGTAGCTGCGCTCGTATAACTAACAAGACTTTGCATACCAGGTATTAGCGAGTTTTAAACTTTTTTAATTTTTAGGGATAAAACACAGTTTGTTCCGAACTTTACGAACAGAACGCATTGTTTCACGAGGATAATACCGCTTAATCGGCGAACAGGAAACAATGCCTCACGTGTGTTCGTTAAATTCTGTACTCAGTGAACCAATCTTTCTACACAACTTTCTGTATACCCATTATATATATAATATAAATTTAACACATGCAAAATTACAATATTCTTTTATGGAAGATATTTCTAAGTATAGTAGCGACCTCATACCTGTTTATGGACCGAAGAATAGTTGGCGCGGAATATTAGTATTTCTTAACAATTTTCATCTTAAAAAATTGCTCCCAGTTTGCTCCCTCAGAATCTAAAATTGCTCCCATCGCAATGTTTATATTTAATGAGATATTGCAATATTCCTGGAATTTTGGCCCTCGACAGCCCCGAAGGCTGCAATAAACGAGCGTCTACTGTATGACATCATACCTAACCTGTGTGCAACAATATTATTTCAATTGCTCCTTGTTAATAAGTTGTTATTAAGATATCTGACCATTGAATATTATAAAACAGATCAGGAGCAATTTTTTGGTACCATAATATTTATGTAAAAAGACCATTTACTATCTATTTTGCAAACAACAAATTTTCGCTTTTTCATTTGCGAATATCTCATTAAATATAAACGGTCTTGTAAAAATTCTTAAGAAACACTAATATTCGGCGCCCAGTATTTTTCAGTTGTTTATAGAGAAACTGTTTATAACTGCGATGGTGGTGTAATGGTCAGCATAGTTGCCTTCCAAGCAGTTGATCCGGGTTCGATTCCCGGCCATCGCAGTGGATTTATTTTACTCACGTGCGGATTCTATACTTTTACTCCAGAATTAATCGATATATCTCTTGTCTTACGATTTAAAATTACTCGATTTTAGCTGCGATGGTGGTGTAATGGTCAGCATAGTTGCCTTCCAAGCAGTTGATCCGGGTTCGATTCCCGGCCATCGCAGTGGATTATTTTTGTACTTTTTTTTTACTTTTGCTTACAGAAATTAATTTAATATTTATTATTTTAAACCAACAATATTTCGAAAAGATATATGACATGTACGTAAACAAATGAAATTCGTGATTACGTATTGCTAATAAATAAAATATCCAAAAGAAAAATTCCGGTACCGGGAATCGAACCCGAGCCTCCTGGGTGAGAGCCAGGTATCCTAGCCACTAGACCATACCGGACTTGGTAAATGAGTTTACAAACAATAAAATAAATTAATAAAATGACTTTTGTCGAATATAAAAATAAATTTCCGATACCGGGAATCGAACCCGAGCCTCCTGGGTGAGAGCCAGGTATCCTAGCCACTAGACCATATCGGACTTGTTGCTACAGTTCCTGAGAATAATGCTGATAAGATATTATTTTACTGCAAATTGATAAATTTAAAAATATAGTATTTTCAAACTACTAATACAACAAACAATGTGTTCATTTCGATGTAAATTATCTTGAAATTAAGTAAACTTCTTTAATTGTTCAGTATATATATGGTACTCTTTTCCAATAAAGAGATTTAATTAGTTCTTTTATTGAAATTACTTTCTTTATCATATATTTATTGCCTTTTGATGTTCAAAATGGAACATATCACAACGAAACCACGTGGTTTATGCTAAGAACGTAGTGGCGTTAAAATATTCGTTGAAAAAGTGAACTTCTTTCAAATGCACATTATGAACATAATATAATAAGGTGTACGTAACAAAAAAAACCATAACATGAATTAAATAACGCTAAATGAAATACAGAATAAAAAGTATGTGCAGATTATATACAGACTTTCTGAATATCTATGTTCACTATTCTGAATAAATCTGATTATGTTACTAATTAACAAAAAATGACAATTAGCAACAGATTTAGACATTCCAAGTGTGACGTTTCATGTTGAGAAATAAATGAAGTGACGCTTCATTCTCAGGGTTTTTACACGTAGGTACGCTACTGCCCAGGCGTTGTGTCGCCATTGTCTTTTGACGGGATTTGCCTTGCATACGAATGAACAATATCTCTATTATTTATTTCTTCTAATATTCTAATACATAATAGGCAATATTTTTAAAAGTATGAAAATGGCGGGAAAGTTGGATCATGCGATACTAACAGCCAATCATAGCAGAGTTTAAATGGTCCACCTGGCAACAGTGGCAACAGTGCGACTTGACTCACGTACGCGCGATACGCGCTTTCTTGGTTTGGAACTGTATGGGGTATGGGTATTATTCGCTACTCTTGGCAGTTGTTTCCCGAGTGACGAGGAAACAACATAAATTTCATATGAGGGAACAATTGTGTAGTTTTTTAAACAAAGGCACGTAAAAGATAGAACTACTGCGTATTTTTAGTGAGTGGTATAAGTAAGGTAAGATTCACACCATACATTCGCTCAGTAAATTTATCCAATGACCATGAAACTATATTAAAACTTTGTTTCGGAGTCATTGACCGCAATATATCCCAACTTTTTAAGGTTGAAGATGTAAATATCTTGTATTGGAAATGCACTGCATACACGTGACAGGTTATCAGTGTTATTGAAGTAAAGAAATAAAAAATTGTTGCAACGGACATTCCAAGTAAATTCGAATAAAAGCGAATCTCTCCCTTCATATTGTTATGAACACACATATAATAATATTTCTTCCATTAAAATTTTGAAACTTCATGAAAATATTAGTAGTTCTTTCAGTTATACAGTTTTTGCTCTATTTCATTCATTATTTAAATATTGTATTAAATACATGGCTAAAATTGATGTTTATTCTCATCAAGGTCTGTCTAACTATTCAAATGATGGGTGGAATTATATGGTACCTGCGAACTATCTTATTTCAATAATAAGTCTTTTTCATAGACTTAAGCGATACAAAAATGGATTATTTACATCAAAATATCCTTAAATGCGTGCGAGAAAGTATAGTTGCTGATATGGATGTATTTAATGGCATAATACAGCCATTGAAATCAGAGTACATATTAACAGATCAAGATGTAACAAAAATCAAAGCTGGTGATTCTAAACAAGAAAAAGCTGAAATTCTATTGGATATACTTCCAAAGTATGTATATTAATGAGTCATAAACATATGAGAGAATAATTATCAAGTTATTTTTTCAAACTGCAATAAAATGTATATTTGATTATTTTCATATTATACTTTTAGTCGGGGACCAGATGCTTTTGACAAATTTCGTCAAGCTTTAAGACATCATTATGAATGGCTAAGTGAAGAAATGGATAAACTAGAAGAAAGTGGAAAAAAAATCAATGATATAAAACATGTTGGTACACCAATTCTTCCTCCAGTGTCACCATTAACTGTGATTAGAGAGCAAAAGGTATGAAATACAGACATACATAAAGTGTTGTGCAACTAGAGGAAATGGAATAATAAATCACGTACTTGCTTATTAAAATTAGATAAAAAGGTCCATCAATAATTAAATATTTAATATTTTATGTGCATGCTTATGGAAATGAATCATGTAAGTTTAAGAAGAGAGTTGTTAAACATTTTATAATACTAATATTCTCTATTTTTAGTATATAAGTTTTATATACAGTGAGCCTTAATATTCTTTACTTACAGATGCAACAGTTAAAAGATTGTCTGGGAAAGTTACAGCCAGATGAATATATTGTACTTCATGGAATGAAAGGATTTGGCAAATCTTGTTTAACAGCTAGTACTTTAAAGGACACAGAATTTGTAACAAAGTCATTTCATGTAAGTTGTTGAAATTGAAGTGTATTTCCACACAAAAAATTGAATTGCAGTATAGAAAATTTACTTAATTTCTTGCAGAATAAAGTATATTGGATCAAGTTTGGATACACACGTTTAGTTGATGAAGAAATATTAATTCAATTGAACAGACTGTATCATCTAGTTAAAAATTTGGAAATGTTACCTGAAACATTAAAATCGGGACCTTTAAAAGATTATTTAATACATTCTTTAAAATATCATTTTAGTAGAAAAGAAAATTCCCATGCCTTGTTAATTCTGGATGATGTTGGTGATAACAAAATAATCGAAGCATTTGATTTTGAATGTAAAACATTAGTAATAACTGCTAATCTTGCCATTGTATCGGATAAAAGGCCTTTTGTAATGCAGGTAAATTATCTTGTAATAAAAAGAACCCACAACTTTATACTGTAAGTATTGCAGATAATACATAATATGTGTATGTTATAAAAAAATTAATATGTTTTTATAGATGAATGATGGCTTTACGGAAGCAGAAACATTAGGTCTTTTTGCTAAAGTGTTAGTAACAGATGTGGATAAACTACCGTCAGAAGCAAAACAAATCCATGATGAGTGCAAAGGAATGCCTTTATTAATAGCTATGTTTGCTGCTCAATTTGAAGAATTTAAAGATGATATGAAATTACAATCAGGTAGATGGAGGTACTATTTAAAAGCATTAAGAAATAAAGATGCAAATAATCAGTAAGTAATAAATATTTAAATGTTTCAATTATATATATTTTAATGGGATTCTGATTAGTAAATATTTTATGACTTCCAGTGTAATTAGAAAATTTCTAGAAAAGCAAGAAGCAATTTTTAATATGTGCATTGAAAAATTACCTGCTGAAATGAAAAAACGTTATGAAGAATTAGTCGTTTTTAGTGAAGATGTTAATATAACACCGCAGGTAAATGTCCAGCTCCTGAAACACTATTAAGTTAAATTAAATTTTATTTAAAATACTACTATTTATATTGTATTTTTGTGTTTGGTTCATTTTATAGACGTTAGAAATTCTTTGGGGAGGGGGTCTATTTCAAGTTGAAGAAATGATGCTGGAGTTATGTCATAAATCATTAGCTGCTAAACAATGGAACAATGAGCTGCATAGCTACATATATGGTGTACATGATTTATTACTTTGCCATTTGCGAAAAAAATTTTCTGAAGACCAATTAGTACAAATGCACAGATCTTTAATTGAAAAATATCGAAAATATTGCGGTGGTGATTTTTCAAAGTTACCAGCGGATAATTATAGTTATTCATATATTGGATATCATTTAGAAAAAGCAAAATTATACGACGAATTTCCTAACATGTATTTCAACTTTGATTTTATTGAATCAACAATACGTCACAGTGGTTTAAGTAACTTGTTGATCGATTTGGAGAACTACAGAAAATATATTACTAAAGATTCCGATCCAGTGCTTCTAACGCATCTTGTTGATCTCGAAAAGTTCTTAGAAGAACAAGCAAGCGTCATAGCGAAACATAGACACAAAAAGTGCCTAGATATAGTACAAATTGCCATGAATCATCCTTATGAAGGATTTGTTAAAGATACCGCCATTAAGCTTGCAAAAAAAAGATCTAAAAATTTATACGTGCTTCATGACAAAACAATGGGACAAATGGATACACCATGGAGCGAAGAAATGTCAACGGAAATTTGTACGTCGTGTTTTGCGAGTGATCCAGAACTAATCTTACTAGGAAACGGAGCGGGTGAAATATTTTTGTGGGATAGTATTTATAAGAGACAAAAGATCTTTAGTGGACATGATAAAAGTAGTAGTATAAAGAAGATTATTATATCGACGGATGGTGACTGTTTTTTGTCATTAGATGATCAGGGTATAGTTAAACTTTTTAGACTCTCTGATGATGAAAATTATGATCACAATCATATTGTTTTATTAAGCCCTAGACAAAAACAATCTTTTTGGAGTGGAATTTTTGCTAGCAAGTTTCCTCGTGATGATAGTTCAATAGAATTCTTCGTTGATGGTGAAATTATATTGGACATGACATTTGCCCAAGATAATAATTGTATTGCAGCTTGTACAAACAGAGGGACAATAAGGGTATGAGCTATTATTAATAATCATTTATCTTTATATGTTAACTAAATATGATACAGTATATCTTTTGTAGGTGTGGGATCGTTATGGGCAAATGGTGTCAAGTCACAGCCATAATCCTCAAAGGTCAGTTATTCATTCTATGATTTATCACGAGTTCTATCTAACATCAGTATTTTTAACATCAGTTTCGTTACAATTATTACAGTAACAGTTATTTGAAAAACATAGCATTTTCAATGGAAAGCAACTTGCTGCATATAATGGATGAGACGCATGGTGTTCTAATATCGTATTGTAAAACTGGCATAGAATATAAATATTTGTCTCAGTACAATCCAAATTTGCATAAAAAGAAAATTATATTCTTCCGTAATGTGCCAGAACAAAAGGATTCATTATTTATTGTTACTGAAGATAAAGCTGTATATATAAAATGGTTCAGATCAAGTACCGATCATATGCACAGTTATGATAAACAGATAAGAGCGAGCGTTGAAAACAAAAACACAGTTTACATTTGCGGTGCTGTAACTTACGATGGCCAATACTTGGTTTTGGCTGATTCTAGTGGTTTTATAAATATATGGAGAGCTGATGTTGGAGATCAACCAATAGCCACATATAAAAGTCGTGTATCTTCTTTGGATACATATTGGTTAAAAGAAGAAGGATACCACATTATCTGTGGTAGTGAAAAGCAGTTACTTCACAAATGGAAACTTCCAGTAGAAGGAATTTGTAAATCAATGCGGAAACCTTTATTTGATGCAGCTGTACAACCATTTGGTAAACCAGATATTGTTGTCACTGAAACTTTCTCGAATACTATTGTCACATTAGTTGGTGATAATATAATGGCAGAATCTAAGCCAATTGATGGAAAAATAAATGACTTAATTCTCTTACCTGATACAAGGAAAATAACTTTTATTACGGATAAAGGCATTGTCTCTTTATTTGATATAGACAAGAAAGAAACCATAAATGTCTTACAAAGTAAAGAATTAATAAAAATTATAAATATCCAAAACAATAATATGATAGTATGCAGAGATACAAATGACAGTTTAAAGGTAAGAAATTTTCATCGTATTAGTAACCACGATACCTTAATATTCTTATTATAATACACATTTTATTACGTATAGGTATGGCAAAATGTGGAAGTGGCGTATTTAGTTGAAAATACAGGATTTATTATTTCAATTCATGAAATAAATGAAAAATGTATTGTGACAGTGACACGAAACGGTATAATAACAGTCTGGAATATCAATGGTACAAATTGGTCACGAATAGACAAAGTAACCATTGGAGGTCCTGACATTATCACCAATTTCAGTTGTACGAGTTATTGGAAAAATATCCTAGTTGTGTTGAATGAAAATGGAGATGCAGTTATATATAACCTGCAGGAAGATACAATAATACTACCAGTGTGTATGAAAATAACTGAATATTTTAGAAAAAATTATACCGAGAAATTAACATGTTGTGAAATTTCACAAAATCAACAGTATTTGGCTATTGGTTTTGAAAATGGAGATATTTCTGTAAGTTACTAATACAGTTGAGACGATATATTGTGGTTGTAAAATACATTCCTGACAAGCACGTGCTAATCGTCCTGCGGAATGCAGGGCTGTTACAACCATGCTATATCATTTTCATCAAGAATGCATGTTTATTTTTATGAGTATAAAAAGGTATTTATATACTATTTCAGATTATTGATACATCGTTGCAAAAAGAAATACATAAACTGTGTTTTCATACAACTTCAGTCTATCAATTGTGTTGGGCACCTTCTCCAATTGATGCGCCGATATTGCTCTCTGTAAATTCCGATGAATTGGCTTGGTGGAATATTTCTCTAGCTACGCAAGCAACTAAGCAGAAGAAAAGGCTACGATTCAAAATGAATCGAAGTGCCAGTTCTCCACTAGTTAGCGAAAATGCAACTAATAATTTGCATATGTCTACTAGTCAAAGTGCAGACTCAAATATATATAGCGCGCAACGCCAAATCGAAGGTAATAGTACCACGAACGGTGTATATAATGTAAGTAACTTTTGGAAGTTTAAGGAAGGTAAAGATCCAAACCAGCCAGCACTATTAGGTGTGGCCGAACTGCCTTCGAATTTCCTTGCAAAGGTGTGTATATCTACTGATTTCACAAAGTTTGTTACAGTTGACATATATGGATCAATTAGTACCTTTACAGTGTGTGGATACGATTAACGATAATTATTCTAAATAATCATTCCTATAATTGAATTTAGATTCTTGATAATATGTAGGTGCAACAGCCTGGAAACATTATCAAAAATAAGTAATGTCTGTTAATTGACATATACTTGCAATTAAATAGACACGTCAATTTGAAATTTGTGAATGGTAGATATGACTATTTTCGAATTAAGATCAAACCATTTATAGATAGATAAGGAAAATATCCTTAAGGTATACATACATGACAGTGAATAGATGATAATTACTATACCATTTAAGTTAAAGGATGTGTAAACTACTATACAATTTTTATTGACTGATGCTCAAGACTACATACGAGAAATACGTACACTTCGTAACAATTCTCCTATCTCCACTGCCGATTGCATTTATCAGCAAATAAAAGGATCTCTTATTCTTACATATTTTTTACAACTATACAGGACAATTATGGCTCCAATTTTTACTGCTCTTTTTATATAGTATTCTACAAAGTATACAAGGTTTTTGCAACGTTTCATAACCTAGTGATCCACATTTGTCAAATTGTTTGTGCTAATGACAAACATTTTTAATCAAGTCGCTAAATTCATTTCACACGTTCAATTGTATTTAATTATTGTACAAATGTTTCTTTTAAATTAAATAATTATACATTTATTGCAATTTAATATTCTACGCAATATAAAATATAATTTAAGTATTATATACAGAGTCCCGTAAGTAAGAATACAAGCAGAAAGGTGATAATTCTACAAGAAGAATAACTCGAAAATATACAATAAGATTTTTTCATAACTCGCTATATTTTCAAGATAGTTAAAGCAAGTTACAATAAAAATTCTATACTTTCGACTTATTTTATTGTGTAGAATTACTACCTTTCTACTTGTACTATCGGTTACGAGATACCCTATATTAATGTATATATATATATATATATATACATTTATATATAATTGTTGTACATACCAATAATTGCGATATATCTCAGAGAATTAATCATAACAAATTTTAAATCTGATAAGTGAATAAGGTATTTAAATTGCAAAATGAATATTTTTTGAATTTTGAAATTAAAAGGTTCTGTTGATATGGAATACGTATCTTTCTATTTAAGTTAAAGAGTAAAACATCGTTAAAAAAAAAAATTATTTAACCACGTATTAATTATATACTTATGAGTTTAAGGTTTGTTTAATTTGATATGTAACTAATGTATCAAATTGTACATTCAAAACTTGCAATCAACGTTGATACCATTATTAATTGTTAATATATTATAAATTATCACAAGTTTCCATATCTTTAAATTTTGTCCGTTTTTAAACTATAAAATTAATGGTATTTTTTATCGTTATTTTTAACTATGTGCCTTAAGTATACTGTATGTACACATATTTAAGAGGGAGCGAAAATTTGTTCATAAATTGTGTTAAATTTGTAGTATATTTTTATATTCTAATTACACAATTAACTATCAATTTATGAAATCGCTTTCCTTGGGTAACATTTATGTTACTTATTTAGTTTATATATATAAACCCAAAAATATTGGAAAATTATTATACATTAACAAACACGTTTAATATTTTTTATATCTACCATATTTGAAAAATGTTCTAATACAACTTTTTTTTACACAACTTATTAGTATTTGTCGAGTTTTTTCAGCTTTATTGAATTTATTCGATCTCATATTACTTTACTTACTGTATAATCCAGTGATATAAACACTTCAAAATAAAATAAAACCATATGATATAGAATATAGAAGATAAGTATGTATGCAGTTATTTCATACGAAGTGCATATATTATAAAATATTGCATGTAAATTAATATATGTTCATGTAATAAAACGTGGTTATGCATACGTTGAAGTGTTTATAAAATATTGTGATATGTGGAATACTATGGCCAATATGTATTCGGTAACTGCGGTGCAATTTATGAGAGATGTGAACAAAACCGATATGCTCACGAGTACGCCAACCATACTATAGGGTCGGCAGACGAGATATTTTCAATCTCTCGTCGAGCTCAATTTTTGATAGCATTTATTATATTATTTTCGAATTTATGTATTTTACTCGATGTTATAGAAAAAGTGTATACATTTTAAGGAAAATAAAGCCATGTAAATACACTTTGCATGTTTCGTTCCCACGAGATCAATGGTCGAAAGCCGGAATTATAGTTGCAAGGTATATCTCTGCATTGCAATGTTCAGCAGCTACACGTGGTTAATATATTAATAGAAGAGTCTGTTCATGCAATGTACGACTTGGCATTGTACCGTGCATCCGATTTTATACTCTAGGCCAATGTCGGTTACCGCGTTGCTGAATGTATAGTGATAGAATAATTACCGATAAATATGAATAAAGACCATTTATTAGAGATATATAGGTATAACAGTTCACCTTTGACAGCAGTGCAATAACACTCGGCATTTTAATATTTCGTAGACCCATTTTTAATTTGTACTATATTAAATAACTGTCGTATTATCAGATTCAGAAAGCATTTCATTCGCCGTAATACTTTTACCAAAAATACATTAGGAAAACGTAATTTTCAATGTTTAGTACAGAAAATTAATCATACTTCAACCGTTTTAATTAAATGTTAATTAATCACAGATAACTTAAAAAATAAGAGTAATTAAAAGTACTCTTACATTGCAATTTCGCTTATAATCTTATCTGTACATTGATGCACTTGATGATACATCGCAGATTCAGTGATAAAGAGGACAAACCTAAGTGATTTATAGTCTTCGAAATCAACAGTGAATAGAAAATCAATTATACATACTTATGTATGTATATACATTTAAAAAGCTAACAATTTCCTGACACGCTGCCCAATTTTATTAATATCAATTGAAACCAATATCTAAAAGGTATTTCTAAGCTAGATTAGTGACGCGTTATTTACTGTATTGTTATAACAGATGAATATCAATCAATGGGTGAATATGTGTACTCAACGCATCCTATAAACAATCTGTCGTGTATAAACACGAGTAACGCACACGAAAGCAATAGGTTGATATCGCGGACGCTTAGGTCCCGGAAATCCGTGCGGGGCAAAGGAAGGGAACCGACCGACCGACTACCCACACGGGCAGCAAAGCAAGGCTACCAATCGTTGCACTTCACGATATTCAGTCTCAGTGTGCGGATCGTTGTGCTACTTGTCACTTCCACGTTCATCCGTTCGTCGAACAACTCGTCCGGAATATTATTTTTTTTTGTAGTCTTTTTTTCTTCGGACCTTGACGTGTGAACGCGCGAAAATACAATGTCGGCAATCTATAAGAAGTCTATGCTATCGATTGGCAAGTTCGTGCCCGAGAAGTTCCAGCCACTGTGGAATCACCCAGCTGGTTAGTAAGTCGCCGAAAACTTACAATTTCTTAAATATCTACGCGTGCCAGCGTCACGTGCTCTCGCAACATTGCAAAGCGTGCATTTGACCGAATTTATAAGAAAAGACGCGGTGACTTTAACGGATCACGAGCTCTAGCTTTTTTTTTTGCACTCTTCCTTGTAACGTACTTACTGTTGACTTGGATGGACTTGACCGTCGCATTGCACACGTAAATCAATGTCATGCCGCGACACGCTGCTCTACATTCTAGGCTTTGAGTTTTATGTACCTTTAAATCTTATCGTTTTATAAATCTCTCGAATGTCAACGTTCAAGGATTTGCAAGATAAGAACGCTATAATGTGCTCGTAAGGAAATAACGTGAGGTTCGCGGCGGTTCTATTATTAGTTCACTTGAGAAATACGAATTGTTTGAATGATAATTATCGATTTCGGATGTTTATACGTAGAAGCGCAAACTACGATGAAATAAAATATTGAATTGGGAAAATTAAAGTTTTTAGTATCTCCGTCTTTCTAAAATAGCCTATAAAGATCCACAGTTTAGTAACACCTGTGTAGCATGCTGCATTCTAAAATTAAGATCGAATAAGTCGGAAGCTAACCGTGACTAATTTTTTCATTTTTTTCTGGGCATTGCACAAGTGCAATGCCCAATACGATATAAAAAAAATGAAAGAAAAGACGCAAAGAAAGCAAAATCGTAACAGCAGTATCGACCTATTTTCCCCTTTCAGGTCCGCAGACTATATTCTTCTGGGCACCAGCTTTTAAATGGGTCAGTAATAATATTGAAGTTCTAACGTCTCGCTAAATGTTCTGTACTTTATACATATTCCTATAATAATAACAATACTCGGACTAGTCGCGGAAGAAACGAATCCACGAGTGCACGTAAGATTTTCCATTGCTGTACGTGTATATACATATAATTTGTAGCTAATATAAGCAGATCAATTTTGTTTCAAGGCGGATAACGCGCGAGCTTTACGTCGCTCGCCAATAAACACGTTACAGAAATATTTCTCGAGCGTGAGGTGGTTGCATCCGCATGCAAGTGGACCCGATCCAAATGCGACGTGGACACGTGCGGTCGAGGGTCTTGAAACAACCATTATTGTTATTACGATCATCTCTAATAATTCCGTCCTAGTTCTATCTCTCGCTAATGGTATATAAAATCAATAACGTCCTGTGACCTAGTATTAAGGTAGGACACGCATCTGAAATTCCACTGTGTATTACTTATTATCTGTATAAAATTCTACGAATGTGTAGTTTTATGTAATTTTATACGCTAAATTGCATTATATAAGAATTATTTTCGTAGCAAAATGATTGCCGCAATTAAAAGAAAATTAGAAAAAAATTATCAAAATGTCAAATACATACAGTTACTTCTTCAATATCGTCTGCACAATCTTTAAAAAAAAATATGCGGTCTTATTGGAGTTGTTTCAATCAAACATAGTTTAACGTAGTCAATATATACGAACATTTTATCCACAACAATATCCAACTGCAAAATGAAAAAGACCCTGCATAATGCAGAATTTTTTTCGTCACTATTCGTGGACAAAAATCTTAATAACCCATAAAGTAATTTCTTGGCCACAGTTTAACACAATTAATTCTCACATAATACACTTCAGTGTAGACAATTATATGGAGCGGTAGATATTCAGAAAATTTTCTACGGAAAATTACTAGCAGATAACTTTTATTCTAGTCCATTCTTTTAACAAGAACGTAATTAAATTATCGTATAGTTGAAAAGCAGCTTGGAAAATCTTAAAATCTGACATTTTTCGGGTTAATATCACGCGCATATCTTTAACGAGTACTGCTCGATCTAACTGAAAATAGGTCAGCCTTAAATTAAATAATAACAATGCGACCTAAATCAAGATTTTCATCCCTTATCCTTCTCGCAAGAGAATCGTTTGTTTTTTCATTGTTGATTCTCATTTCTCGCGTGCCCCCTCTTGTGCAAATGATGTTGTTACTATAAATGAAATTTAATAATTACAGGGACTTGTGATAGCTGGCCTCGGTGATTTGCAGAGGCCAGCGAATCAGCTTTCTGTACGCCAGTCGGGCGCCTTGGCCGCTACTGGAGTGATCTGGACCAGGTATTCCTTAGCGATCACCCCGAAAAATTGGAGTCTTTTCAGCGTAAACCTCTTCGTCGCGATAACATCCATATATCAAGTTACTAGAGCATTAAAGTAAGTGTCTTCCTTTCGGAACGAAAACCTTGAATTGTAAATAAGAAATTATTCAAACTAGCGAATCGAATTACTTTTGTAAAATGGTACAAAGCCGATAAGTTTGCCGTATCGGAAATATTACAGGTCTTCTTCCAAACACTTCATTTTTATAATAGATTTAATGGAAACTGAATTTATGTTGACACATTTTCTACGGCCCTGACCGAGCTACAAGGTATTCCCGTCTCAAATTTCTATAATGAAGGTCATCCCGAGATGTGGAAAACGCTTCTGTAGTCACCTATAACATTTTACGACTTCACTATGCCTTGTCCACCAACCAAAATATGAACGATATAAATTGATTTTCATCCCTTATGATACAAATCGTTAGATTGAAAATAATTATTTATGAAACAGACTGGCAAGGAAGGTGAATACTCCATTTTACATTCGTTCGTTCGTCCACGATGCATTATTTATAACAAACGCGTCGACGTTTCGTGTGAACGCACTTTAGATCATATTGTTCTTGTTAAATAATTTCGCCTGAAATGTTTTGGAATATGCAAGGTTCGGTACTTGAAATCACGAATCATTAACTTGTTTCAGCATTAGAATTTCGGAAATCGGAGAAATTTCAAACAAATACGCATTAGTGTGTACCAGGTGTCGGCAAACTGCGGCTCGGGAGCCACATGTGGCTTTTCAAGTACTTACATGTTGCTCAGAAGTAAAATTGAAAAGGAAAAAGAGCAATTTTTGTATGATTTTTACTTTATTTAATAAAAGTGTAATCAATACCATAACTTTTTATTACATTACTTTAAATTTTTCTTATTTGTATAAATATATTTATGGCTCTCAAATAATTTCTAAGTTGTTGCAAGGCACAGATTTGGCTCTTCCGTCTCAAAAGTTTGCCGACCCCTTGTGTACACGATCCGATTTCAGCAGACACCGTGTTGACTACATTTAGGTATTACGGTTTCTTAGATATCTGAAACACAAACTATGATCCTCGTATAAACAATTTATATAGCGGTGATTTCGTAGTCGATGAATTCGTAAATATCTTATATAATACAATTTATGTCCATGTGTCAGATGACGCGGTAAGAGTTTTTTTTTTTATATAATTTAAATTTTCATTTACATTCGAAGATCACCATAATGTCGACTTTACTCAGTATTTCACTGAACATGTAAATTAATATTCGTGTTACCGCGAGAGACAGGCCGTAAAAGATGTTTGTCACGATGAATTCAGCATAGTGTGTACTACTTTTGCTAAGTTGACTGTTTTCTTTTTATTTGAACGGACGATAGACACCTTCGAAATTTTGTCAGCTAATAATATAATAATGTATTTAATGTATTTAATTATCTCAGATTATGTTATAAATTTTCTAAAAATGTTTCATCGGGTTAATAGATACAATTTTAGAGCGGTATACCAAAATTGAAAAATGTTTTTTAGGTACCAACGTGAACAGGCAGCTTTAGCAGCGGCAGCACCGACGGAGGGAAAATAGTAACTGAATTCTTATAATCCACATTCCTAGGAATAACAAATTCGTAATGTAGTTAACTACAATATTAGGAATATCGACTTGCGGTGTATATACAAGCATTACGTAATATCGAACAAAGGAGAATTCACGCATCAAGAAATTACGCAAGTCTGTAATAATTATTCGACAGGATCTTTCAGTTATTTTGGAGGTTCCACATAGTAAGATTGTAGATATCTCAATTCAATTAAATACACAGTACATAGTCATATATTAAGCACGAAATATAAGCAATCATGGAAACACTAAAACAAAGAATCATGACAGAGGAAAAGTAAGCAATTGTAAATCAGGAATAAAACGTATGAATGTCAACACTAAGGAAACTTCGTGCGCCAACATTTAGGAAATTTAATACACCAAAGATAGAACACCAATATTCAGGAAACACCAAAAGCATGTCATCGTCGCTCAGGAAAATTCATACACCAATAACAAAATATTACTGCCTAGAAGGCATTAAAACCTTAACGATCACGTAAAAATCAAATGTTACTATTAACAAAATTTGAGAAATTACAGAGTAGATATCAATAGCGTAAAATTCGAGTCTTTAAAAATTAGAAAATGTTCGTGCCAAACTGTGATATCGAACGTAAGGTGCTGCTCGTATATCTTTATTCCAATAGTAATTCATAAATTCTAAATCCTAGAATAAGTACAAATATCAACAGAAATATATAACATGATACCAAAATTTAGTACCCCTAATGGCATACATAGTAAACTGAAACACCAATGATAGTACACCAGTCTGTAGGATAAATGTACTAAACCTAAACATACCTAACAATATAGGTATGTTTGTTTATGTATAAAACTACCTCTGAATAATAATGTACAATGCCCATTGTAACGATTCGCAACACTGACGCTGAATGATTCGAGGCAGTAGGAAATGTACAAATTGTATACCGAGTTCGATAAAGTTATAACTGCCTTGTATAGATGTAATAAAATAATATATTTTTCTATAAATTTGTCATTCCCCACCCTTTATTTACGGTCTTTAAACATAATCTAAAGTCCGTAATACTATAATATAGAAGGTACATTTTTGAACTTATGATTGACTTAAGATTTAATAATTCGGCAATATGTGTACCATGACAAACGTATATCGAAAATTAAAATAGTGTTTGACTCTACACAACATCCATAATAACAGTATGGATAATGAATATATATGGATGTATATACATAATATATATGTATATGATATACATATATTATCGCGAAGGGAGAGGAAAAAGCGATTGGAGGGCGATGAGAAGGATTGCTGCACGCATGTAATGCATCCACCTCCACTACGCCGCAGGAGAATCCCCCACCAACAACGCCATTAGAAAGAGAGCAAAGTTACCCCAGTTTATATATGCTATGATGCTACCAAGGACCTCCATTTCAGCCACCAAGTGGCTACCGTAATTTTGACAAACTCAGGAATTTTCTCAAAAATGGTAACCATCTGGTGGCGGAAATTCAAATTAAATCCTAACCTTCTTCATCTAGTTCCTGAAGTTGCTACCAAATGCCGCCACATGTCAGTTTCGTCCAGTTTCCCGCGCTTTTTGTAAAATTTCTAGAATTAGTTCTAATTTCCGCCACCATATATTTGATGGAGACCATAATTTTAGCAAATTTGCAGGTTTCCCGCCTTTTTTGAAATTCAAAATATATACCACCGACTAGGTATAGGATAGACCTATCATCGTATGGGACAACAAATTCCGCCAAATCCGACCCCGAACCTGCACAAGCTCGGTAAAATCGGTATGGAACACTTCGGAGGTTTATTTTTATTTTATTACTAATAATTCTATAATATATGTATATTGCATATATTTGTAGCATCCTGAAAACGGGTATTAACGAGCCATTTCACGTCGAAACGCACACAACTGCGATCTTAATGACCGATTTTTTTCGAATTTACAGCATTTGTTGATAACCACAAGAAACGAAATTGTGTAAAATTTTAGTTTCTAATCTTGAACCGTTTCCGAGAATTTCCCTTCCGGGAATGCCTTACCGTATTTCGAGAATCGGTTGACGGACGTCACGGCGTGCGAGCGAGAGCGGTAGAGCGAGCCGCGGTATCGGTGCTCTCCGTCGGTGTTGACGCGTGCCGAAGAATTTCGGTGGCTATGGGGGGTGGTGTGCGAGCGAGAGAGTACGGTAGAACGTGCCGAGTATCGGTGCTCTCCGTCGATCCAACGCGCTAGTGAGTTGCGTCACCCAGTTTATTGACTTAGCCGTGTACGCCGTGTACCAAGGTCGTACCATCCCGTGCAGGTCTGTGCTTG